TTTAAATTTTCTAAACGTTCCCTTTGAGTTTTTCCTTCCAGGCACCTTATGATTCTGGTTATTCTTCTTTGAACATGCTCCAGTTTGCCAATGTTCTTCCTAAAATGCAGTATCCACAACTGGATATAATACAATAAACTAATTCTGATGAATACAGAAAACATCTTCTGATGTTATTTTTCTTGATTTTGATGTGATGAGGGTTTTTGTTTTGCTACAGCTAGGATTGCATTGTGTTTTACAGCTGCATCACACCTTTGACTCATGTTCAGCTTGTGATCCACCAAAGTACCTACCATCTTTTTGCATGTTGTGCTACCTATATAACCTCTCTTATCCTACTCTTATGCTTGATTTTTCTTATTCAAATGAAAGGCTTTGGATTAATCTGTTGCGCTTCCTGACCATCATTCCAGCTTCTCAAAATCCTTCTGAATCTTGATACTTTGTCTCATCTAACAGAATAAGAGAATAATAGAGTTGGAAGGGAACTTGGAGGTCTTCTAGTCCAACTCCAGGCTCAAGCAGGAAACCCTATATCATTTCAAACAAATGGTTGCCCAATCTTTTGCAGATTATTTACCTGCAAATAATCATTTGATAATCAGGTTTTCTACACACAGCCATCTAAGTCATTTGTAAATATGTTGAACAGTACAGAGGCAGCAGCATGCCATTGGGCACTTCCTTTCAGCTTGATGTAGACCTATTGACTTACACTTGTTTGGTACTATTGTTTAACCAGCTCTATATGTATCTAATGAACTAATCCATCTAGTCAAGCCTGAATTTTTGAAAATAGCTTTCCAGAGAATTCTGTCAAATGATTTGTTGAAATATTTTTTCTGCTCCCTCCCTCCCCCCCCCCAAATATATATTGGTTTGGCATGAAGCAGAACTTCAAGATATGATCTACATGTTGGTTCAAAACTCTTGTTATTTGGTTCTGCTTAGAGCACTGTGTAAACCTAGTTATTGTGATTAATAAGCAGTGATTTGTGCTACACAATCCTCTCTGGCCCAAAGGTCACTATTGGTTTGACTGATTGCTGGGGCCATAATCTAAAAAGTAAAAGGTTGGTAAGAATAAACATTGATTTGATGTCATTTACAATTACAATTAAATTAAATTAAATATAGGCAGAATGATGACTTTCCATTCATGCATTTGGTTACAATTCTGGAGATCTCTGGAGGCATTACAGTCCTTTGTGGTTATGGGAGCTGAATTTTTACTGATATATTTCTGTTTTAGAAGTTGGTTTATTGTGGGAACCAAGCCAATTGTCATTTATTCAAATAACTATAGTTAAGCCAATCATGGCTTGTTTCAACATCAGAGAACTCTCTAAACCCAGATAGATGGCCCTCCACCCCTTCTTAAAAATCTCCAATGAAAGAAAGCTAAATGCTTGGGAGGTCGCTGTCACAGAGGTCGTGCTGCTAGGAAATGCTTTGTAAGGCATATACTTTTGTTGCTGCAGTGGCCCTTCAAGGCAGTTAATGATATTAGCTGAAAAGTTAACAGCAAAGAAGTGGAATAAAGTGGCAGAGGAACTCTAGGGTGAAGGGGCTACTGTGGACAAGTCTGTCTTTCCATCCATCCATCCATCCATCCATCCAATCCAATCCAATCCAATCCAATCCAATCCAATCCAATCCATCCCAGAGCTTCACTTTTTCCATTTTGTACTCTGCTAAGAGGGAGGGTGTTTGCTGCTGTTGCTGCTAAATAGGAATAAACTCCTTGGATGCAATGTATCATTTGAGGACCATTGGCAGTGATAAATCACTATCAGTTAATTTCAAAAGACAGCTTTATGTGGAACTGTTTACATTCTGCACAGTACCTTTAATACCATCAAATAACAACGTCTCCCTATCCTATTTCCGAAATGGGACTTGATAGGTAGATAAAAATGCCAAATCCAGTCTAAATATCTGGCTGACTATGTGACAAACCATAATAATAATAATAATAATAATAATAATAATAATAATAATAATAATAATAATAATAATAATAATAATAATAATAATAATAATAATAACAATAACAATAATAATAATAATAATACTTGCCTTGACATGGTTGTTGGACTTGCATGCTCTGCGGAAGATGAGAGCTATGCCAGAGGTTTAACCATACTGGACAGGTCTTTTCTAATACTGTATGCTAAAAGGTACAGGAAACGTTCAGGGTACTGACAGTGGCCAGTCTGGTAAAACTGAGGAACATAATAGCGCATTGGAGCAATGCTGTGCTGCTTATTGTTTGCAGTTCTCATTTAATTGGATAAATGAAAAATTGTTTTAGGAATTATTTGACAAGAGAAGAAAATTATCATAAAATTATTATAATTGGCATGTGGTGTTTCCATTTCCATTACAAGCTGGCCTTTTGCGTACGCCAGGTGCTCCAATGGAATTCTAACATGTTTAAACCTTTCACTCTGCTTTTTGTGATTGGGATATTAGGCAGTCAGGGAAATCCAAAGTGATGGAAATTAGAAATAGCAACAGCACTTAGACTTATGTACTGCTCCATAGTGCTTAACAGCACTCTGAGCGGTTTAAAAATGACAGCATATTGCCCCCAACAATCTGGGTCCTCGTTTTACCAACCTCAGAAGGATAGAAGACTGAGTCAGCCACGAGCCAGTCAGGATCGAACTCCATTCTGTGGGCAGATACTGCATTCTAAATACTACACCACCAATTATCTGAAAGGAATAGGATTTAGTGCTGTGCAGCCCTTTGGAATGGAAGGCAAATGTTGTCTTTTTCTATATTGCTGCAGCTTGGAGGGTCATTGTGCAATCCCAAGATAATATTGTATGTAGATGCTTTAAGAGGCTGTAGACAGGTGCTACATGGGTGGCCATGCACCCTGTACACTATGAAACATACTTTGGTGTTTCTAAAGTACAGTCACAATACATCAGTAGCCTCCATCACAAACATCCTCAGAAGGTGATGCGGGACAGGAATTATGTGCAAAGGAAAAAGCAGTGTCACTGATTCAACACATCTGCACTCCTTTTGCACATACATCACAATGCATTAATAATAAATATAATATAGAAATAATGATGATGATGATGATGATGATGATAATGATGATGATGATGATGATGATGATGATGACTTGAACATCATTGGCATTGACAAATTCACCATCAGTCAATTGCAAAAGGCGGCTTTACTGGGGACAGCTTCCATCCTGTGATGATATCTGTAACACCATCAAATATTCAGATCTGTCTATCCCAGATCCTTGGTAAAGACTCGATAGATAGACAAAAATGCCAAATCCAGCCTAAACAGCTGGCTGACTGTGGATGAATCATCATCATCATCATCATCTTGGGGCAAAGGGGTACAAGGAAGACTCAGGGATTCTCTTTCATAATTGTAACTCACTGGATCCTGTGAATACTTTTGCCTCCAAAATCAAAAAAAGTGGAAAGAGAAGAAGGTAGAAAAACAGAACTTGAGAAATGGCAAGGTATATTTCACCCTATCATTACTGTGAAATAAAAACTAGGAGGTTGGGCTGGCAAGTCCTATACGTGAATCTTAACTAAGAGGTTTTATTCTAGCTGGGTAGGCCTGGAACAAGTACTATTATGCTAGCTTAAACTATTTCTGACTATTTGCCAGAAGAAAATGGAAGCAATTTCTGGAATTTCTTTATATGGTGGATTCTTAGCAGGATGAATGCTAGTAATGAAATCCAATTATAGTTCATCCTTTCTCATGGTGGGAAGAGGAAGCATTTATTTTCTAAACCTTATAAGATGATTTTTTTTAAAAAAAATCAAATTCTCTTTTGTATAGGAAAAGCATTTTCCAGGATTAACTGTGGAACCACACAACATTCTCTGCAAAACAGCATTTTGCATAAGCTACTAGAAATAAGTCGTGTAATTAGAGCTTTTGAAAACAGTAACACCTTAAAATTGCATGCTGTTAACATGCAATTACTAGTTTCTATGTAGAAAACTAGCATCTAAAGATTTAGCCTTCTGATTGGCCCGAGAATCTAATTTTTGATTGCAGGGAATTGTCCTATATATTTTGCTGAGACAAAGGGCAAAATGGTGCCAGTAGTTTCCTACTGATCATAGGACAGCAATTTCCATTGTATTTTACAGAAGTCTAATATAGTGGTCTACAGCAAACTGTGTAATGTATACAACTGTGTTGTGTCATTTAATATCTGATCACTGTTCATTCACTGGTCCAGCTAGTCTCTCCTTGTGACTCAAGTGTGGCAGTGCACTATTGGCAATACTACTGAGCAATATGGTGATCAGAATACTGCATATGGAAGACTCATTTGATGTACAACATCAATTACATGCTGTGTACTGGCTCAAATGGGGCATTTTCTAAAAAATATTCTGTGTTACCACAAGGATGGAAATGGGACACACATCCCTCCCCCCATTCTTTTTTTGTGATTGCACAAGACAAGCAAATTCTCTTGTTGCAGCCCATGGCGTCTCCTGTCTTGGCATGACTGGTTAAAAACTGCACAGAGGAGAGTTGTGTTGAGAGAAAGTGACTGGCCCAAGGTTATCCAGCTGATTTTTCATGTCTAAGGCAGGAGTAGTACTCTCTCTATCATTTCTACCTTCCTATCTACCTATTCATCCATCCATCTATCATCGTCTGTCTGTTTGTCTATCTATCTATCCATCCACAGTCTGTCTAATCTCTCTATTCTTCTGTATCTCTATCTCTCTCATCTCTCTTGACCTTTCATCCCTACATCTTGCAGTAATTCCATAAATTCTGTAAATTAATCAGGTGGTATAGAAAGAAATCTGTGTCTCGAACTGCCCAGAATCCATTTCACTGAATAACTCCTGAACTCCAGTTCTTCTAATTATAAATATATCTGGTTTGGGAGCCTTATTTCTCTTTTTTCTTCTTCCCAGTTTCTGAAGATCTGAGCATCAAACGTGCTGTTCACTGAAGCATGAGCTTTGGACATGGCCACCCGCCGCTGTACTCGGAAGCCTTGGCTGGCCCCCGGGATCTCTAGAATGATTTGGAAACATCTTGTTGTCATCTCCCTCTGGCTGCCATCATTTGTTTTGGGTGGAGCCTCTCCCACCTCCTGCCCAGCTGCTTGTTCCTGCAGCAACCAAGCCAGCCGGGTCATCTGTACACGCCGGGAACTGGTGGAAGTGCCCGAGAGCATTTCAATCAACACACGGTACCTCAATCTGCAGGAGAACAACATCCAGGTGATAAAGACAGACACTTTCAAGCACCTTCGTCATCTTGAGATTTTACAACTTAGCAAAAACCTCATCCGTAAGATTGAGGTTGGTGCCTTCAACGGCTTGCCCAATCTCAATACTCTGGAGCTCTTTGACAACCGGCTAACCACTGTCCCCACACAGGCCTTTGAGTACCTCTCCAAGTTGCGGGAGCTATGGCTGAGGAACAATCCCATTGAAAGCATCCCTTCTTATGCCTTCAATCGAGTCCCTTCTTTGCGGCGTCTAGACCTTGGAGAGCTCAAGAAGTTGGAATATATCTCAGAAGCAGCTTTTGAAGGTTTGGTCAATTTGAGGTACCTGAACTTGGGCATGTGCAACCTTAAGGATATCCCAAATTTGACAGCCTTAGTGCGACTAGAAGAACTTGAGCTTTCTGGAAATCGCCTGGACATGATCCGTCCAGGCTCCTTCCAAGGCCTGACTAGCCTTCGCAAGTTGTGGTTGATGCATGCCCAAGTGGCCACCATTGAACGCAATGCTTTTGATGACCTTAAGTCATTGGAAGAACTCAATCTCTCCCACAATAATTTGATGTCCTTGCCCCATGATCTGTTCACCCCTTTACACCGCCTAGAGCGTGTCCACCTCAATCATAATCCTTGGCATTGCAATTGTGATGTGCTGTGGCTCAGCTGGTGGCTCAAAGAGACAGTGCCCAACAACACTACCTGCTGTGCCCGGTGCCATGCCCCACCAAACCTCAAAGGGCGATATATTGGAGAGCTGGATCAAAGCCATTTTACTTGCTATGCCCCTGTTATAGTGGAGCCTCCAACTGATCTTAATGTGACTGAGGGAATGGCTGCTGAGTTAAAGTGCCGAACAGGGACCTCCATGACATCAGTGAACTGGCTCACACCCAATGGCACACTGATGACACATGGTTCCTATCGGGTGCGCATTTCTGTCCTTCATGATGGCACACTCAACTTCACCAATGTGACAGTCCAAGACACTGGGCAATACACCTGTATGGTGACTAATTCAGCTGGCAACACCACTGCTTCAGCCACACTCAACGTCTCAGCTGTGGATCCAGCCACTACAGGTTATACTTACTTTACTACTGTAACTGTGGAGACCATGGATTCTAGCCAAGAAGAATCTATTCCTACAAAGAAGGAACCTGGGCCAACACCTTCCCAAGGCTGGGGCATGACTTATTCCACTACTTCACTGACTCCTCGCAGCACACGCAGCACTGAGAAGCCATTTACTATCCCAATCACTGATGTCACAGAGAACGGCATGAAAGATTTGGATGATGTGATGAAAACTACTAAGATCATCATTGGCTGTTTTGTAGCCATTACCTTCATGGCTGCTGTGATGCTCATTGTCTTCTATAAGCTTCGTAAGCAACATCAGCTTCATAAGCATCATGGACCTACCCGCACTATTGAGATCATCAATGTTGAAGATGAGCTACCTGCAGCAGCTGGAGCTCCTGGTGACAGCCACCTTGCACTTCCTGCCATTGAGCATGACCACCTCAACCACTATGCTGCTTTCAAGGCCCACTACAATAACAATAGTGGTGGTGGACCCCTCACGTGCTCCAAGAACCCCATGCTCAATTCCATCCATGAACCTCTTTTATTCAAGAGCAGCTCTAAAGAAAATGTCCAAGAGACACAGATATGACAGCCACAGCCTGAGGAAAATAATAATAATTCTGTGGTGGGAGGGCGGCAAAGGGTTAGTATATGCAGTGAGGAACATGTTCAGGAACAGCTCTTGCCTCCTCACTTTAAAAACAAACAAAAACAAACACAGGTCTTTTCACCACTGTGGCAGATCTTGGATTCCCAAGCCTCCACCAGTAGATACCTTCGATTCTCACCAAGTTAGCTTTTTATGTTCTCTTCTTTTTTCCTTCTGCAAAACAAGACACTGCTCTCACCTTCTGCCTGATCTTCCCTTTCTTTTCTTTTTCTCTCCCCTTTCCTTTTCTTATTTTTCTACCATACTCCCTTTACATTGGAGACTTTTTTTATACAGATGGGGCTGTTTCTGTATCCAACTACCTGCTGTTTTACTTTGAAAGAATGAAAGAAAGAAAAGAAAAGGAACAATGACAGTGACAAAGAAGGAAGGGAGGACATTTTCCTTTCAACGTCATGGGAATAATGTTTAGGAAGAAGAATAAAAACCAAGTGGAATGGGAAAGGGATTTTAAAAAAATCTTATTTTGAGCCGCTTTCCGTCAAAATTCTATTTTCATCCATTGGGATACACAAAATAAATTAAATAAAGAGATGGGAGGTCATAATGGTGCCAGGATCCTCACCCCCACCCTGCCCCACCTTTGGAGCATGTGGGGATGCTGGGCACACAGGGTTTTGGGAAATTTTTTATGACTAGTATTATTACTATGGGAAAGCAGGCACAGCCAATGTGCTCCCCAGAGACACAGGGGTGTGGAGGTATTTTTTAATTTGTAATAATCTAGGGTGGGAATGTTGGGTTTAATGGGGGTTGCACTTCTGGCCTAAAAAAAATTAAAAAAGAAAAAAAGGGCCTGTGGATTCCCGTGACATTTTGGGGTCTGGTCTGAGTTTCTTATTTTAATAAAATCCATAAAGATGTTTCCAATCCTCCCTGGGATGGTTTTTTCAGTGGGGGGGGGGGAAATAAATGTGAGCTATTATTCAAATGCATAAAATGCAGGGACAAGGATGAATTTTGGCAGCAGTGCAAATGTATATAGGGGCACAGGAAGGTATATGCTAGTACTACTCTTTTACTTAATCCTACTCTTCCTGTTCCTGACCTTATTAAGCTAAGCTACCAAGTAATAAGACTGTGTATGTGGATTGTGGGTTCTTGCATTGATTGCTTTGGGTGTTCCATTTATGTTCAAGAACTCATATGTAGAATCCTTCTTTAATTTCCGCCAGTTAATGAAGAGGTCACTGACCGAGAAAGTAAGATAGCACATACTAGAGACTTTGGGAATGGGGCCATCATATATGGATCTGTGATTTTATATGCTTTCTTTGAACCAGGTTGGTCATCACACATGAACTACCCTAATATCAATGATGTAGAAATGAAGGTACTGCAACATACAGTACACAATTTCTCCCCAACACACATATTCTGCTACAGATCAGGAGGGATTCAACAGTTGTGATTTATACCATTCCCGATCATAGGAAGTATAGTGTGATCTCTGTGGATGAATCTGCTTTCTTATATGGAGACCAAGGACTAATCATTTTAAGAAACAATTTTTTTTACATATTATGGTATTATGGGAAACCACAGAGTCCCAAAACGTATTGTTAGTAGTCATGGGATGTGAAAGATGTAGCCTAACAACCTTTGAAAGGCCGGAGTTTTCCCACCCATCATGCGAGAAGAAAAATTCCCACATCTAAAGACTTCACGTTATTTAAACTTCAACCCAGAAGAAAGCAACATATGTTATTTCAGCTAGATATAACAAGGCAATCTGCTGCACCTTCACAAGTGTTGGACTGTAGTTTCCAACATTCTCAGTTGGAAAGCTGAATATTTGGGGAAAGCTGTGATAGATGGGGAGGCTGAGAACTTTCAGGCTTTCATGAGAAAAATTGGATTGAAGAAAAGATGGAAGGAAACATCAGAAGATTACATCACAAAAGAGACCTGGGAATGGAGAAGCAAAACTTTCAGGAGGCGTGAATGTTTGGGATAGGATAGAATCAACACTGTCTCCCCAACCTGATCTCCTGGGCAGGCATTTATGTCAAAAGATGATCTGAGGATTTGGAGAGTTTAACACATCTAGAGGATATCCAGTTGGGAAGGATTATTATTATTGTTATTGTTATTGTGAGTTGCTCACAGTTGCTTAAGAGGGTCGTTCAATCAAATCTTTCAAATAAATGAAGGTGGTCTAGATATTTAAGGAATATGGATTAGATCAGGTTTTTGAAGGATCAAAATAAGGAATTATTTGGTCTGTGGAGTGCTATGAAAAAATGAAGGGTGAGGGATGACAACTTTTGACTAGATAGGAGAAAATTGCTGTAGTCAAGACAAAATAATGGTGAAATATGAAAAAGGGGGGGGGGGATTTGCAAAAGGCTGAAGAAAAATGAGCTATTCTTTTCTTGCACACAGAGAAGTGACATCTTTTGGTGGTGGATTCTGTGTGGAAGCAAAATATGCCCACTAAGAAAAAAAATATTCTCTCTGTGTTTATCTTTTTTGGGTAGTAATATCAAAATAATTTTTTAAAATATATTTTTATTAAAATAGTTTTTCTTAACATAAAATACAAATGGAAATAAAGACAATGGAAAGAATAGGAAGGAAAGAAGTTAGAGGAAATAAAATAAGGAAAGAGGAAAAAAGAAACAAAAAGCAGTAGTTTCCAATTTTTTTCAATGCAGTAAATTACCTAATAAAGTTATCAAGTTTTTTCTTGTGCCAAATAGTAACTAAAAGCCATTTCTATACAGTAGCCCATTTAATCATCAAAACCCAAGACCAAAATTTCATTTTTTTTCCTCTTTCATACAGAAAGTCCAGAAGTGGTTTCCAGGTAACCACAAAACTATTTACCTTGTTATCCCTAATTAATGCAGTTAACTACATCACCATCTCTGCCAGTTCCATCATCTTCTCAATCCATTCCTCCATTGTGGGGGTTAATGCTTCTTTCCATTTCTGGGCATATAAAATGTTTGCAGCTGTCAACATCTATAGTAACAAAGTTCCATTTTCCCCCAATTCCTTATCTAATAATCCTAGAAGAAAAGTTTCTGGTTTCCCTTGTAATTGTCTAAAGAAATTATGAGGAAAGGAAAACTTCAGAAGAAAGATAAGATGATTAACCTTATTTGCTGTGGGTCAGCCATCCTTTACTACTCTGAATAGGCAACTGGCCTTACAGGATTGCCGGAAGGGAAGAAAACTCTTAGCAGAAAGGCAGCAGGGCTTGTCAGCAACCTACAAGAGGTATGGAAAGCCACTGAATTAGAGGAGGTTGCTGGGAGGGAACAGTGGGAAGGGGCGGATTCCAGCAAAGAGAAAGGAAAACCCTAGGAAAGCACTGTCTCTCACACAAACACTTAGTAGAAAGGTTGGAAAAGTGTTTGTAAAGAAGAAAACCCAGCCGAGAAGAGTTTCACAGTGACCATGACGTGTTAAAAGGATTTGAGATGTAGAAGTATCCACCTCTTTCAAAGACATTAGAAATCAGGAGGGAGAAGAAGAAAGTATTTGGATTTGCCATACAGAGGTGATCCATAAATGGCTTCTATAGACAGTCAAACTGAAGTCCCTCAGGACTACATGGAGCACTTGGTCCAATTATAAATCTGATTCCTAAAGATTACTTTAAAGCAAAAAAACCAATGAAGGGGACAAGGAGAACAACAGGGTAACTAGGTCAACGGGAAACAAGGAAGATGCTGAAGGTGCAAACATGATGAAGAATGTGAGAAAGTATCAAAGTTTCCAGCTTTACTTTGCTGAAAAAGGAATAGCATATCAGCTGCATCTTTTGGAAATTGAAGTTCAGAAGACATTCAGTTGGAGAAGAGTGCTTTAAAAATGGAAGATAGTGATTGTGCTCCTTCAGATGTTTTTGGATTACAGCGTCTCTCGTCATTGGTCCTACAGTGCTTAATGGGACTGCTGGGAACTAGAGTTCAACTATATTTGGGAGACCACTGATTGCCTGTTTAGGCTCTAGTCTACAAGGTCAGAGACATGGGGGAAAAGCTGCAGTGGAAGACAATGATACCTCTGTAATAACATTTTTACACACAGGTTGCTTTACCAAATTTAATGGAAGTACAGACAAGCAACTGAAGCTGGAGAACCAGATTTATTTTTTATTTATTTATATTCTGCCTTTATTATTTTTACAAATAATGGGTGGTGAATATACCCAACACATCCTCCCCTTCCTATTTTCCCCACAACAGCACTGTGAGGTGGGTTGTGCTGGGAAAGAGTGACTGGCCCAAAGGCACCTTTGGCTAAGGCTAGGGCAGGACTTGAACTCTTCTGGTCTTCTTGGTTTCTAGCCTGATGTTTTAATCATTAAGACCAAATTGGCTCTCAGATTCACAGTGTCCCCGTTCCTTCAAATCAAAATAAAATGGTGGTGCCTGTGGTTCAAAACAACTTCCTTTCAGCATACTGTATCTGCTGTACCCCTTTTCCTCTCACATATTAAAATGGGTGCATGCCTCCCTGATCATACTTGCATGTAACTAAACTAAACTTGTTCCAGCCTAACAATCACTTAGGTTCGTATTTCTGAGACATGGCTTTTTATTGCCCATTTATTCATTATCTAGTCCAATTCTACACACATATCTGGAATGGCTATCTGATTTTCAGTTTATCCCAAAGCAAAGTGGAATCGCATCTTTTGTAAAATTGAAAAAGATATCTTTGTGTGGGTTGAAGAAGTCATTCTTTCTTAAAACACACACATGCACTCAAAAATTCGGGACCACAGGAAGAAAGAAGACTTTGGTAGTGCTGCAGAAAAGCGGAGGTATGTGTATGTGCTAACAGATGCAGTATCTGGTACTGCAAGTATATTTTCTTGAAAGTGTACTGGTTTATATCTTTATGAATGCCAAAAACTTGAAACATTTTGGCAATAACTTCCATGCATTCTGTGCTTTTATTCC